CCGCCGACCACTCGAAACTGGGAAAGCTCGGAAAGCCCGGAAAACGCGCAAAGCTCGAAAGCGCCCGGAACAAGGAGCGTCGAGAATGCTCGCCGCAATGCACCGCGAATGACGGTAATAACGCGGAATGCCGGCGTTGACAGGAGTTTGGCAGCGCCGTCGTTAACGCAGGTGGCTCCCCGATATTTATTATTGGCACTCGACTCTTTGCTTGCACCTTACGCGGAAGGTAACTGGATCGCGCGCATACCGACTTCGTCGGAAAAACGTACAGCGGGGAGAGAAAATGTGAAGAGTCAAGGCTTGAGCCTGCTTCCCCTCTTCCGCGCGAACCGCGTCCCGACAAATCGGCAATTTAAATCGTCCGGAAAATAATCCCGCCCCAATTTCGCGAGGTGCATCCGCGGCAGCAAACGCCGCCTCGACATCGGTTCTTCGAAGTTGAGGAACGGACTTCCAAAAGGCTGGCAACTTCGCGCAGAGGGGAAGGCAAAGTGCCACGAAGAAACGCGGAAGAAACTTCGCGAGAGGTAAAAAACGGAGGGCAAGAACTTCGCGGTGCACTTCGTTTGCCGCGAGCACGCACTTCGGGGGATAATTTCTTTTTCTTTCGTTCTCGTCGTAGACAAATTTTTGTCCTCAAAGTCGAAGTCACCGACGAGAAGAGAGGTAGGAAGTGGAGACGTCTCGACTCCCTCTTCGGGCTTCCACGACTCGCCGGGATGAAAAATTAACTATAAAATTGGACCCGCTCCAACTTCCCGATAAATCCCGGGGACGCGAGACGTCCGAGGGAACTTATTTCCCGGGTCGCGGACGGGTGCCGCCGATAATGACCAATTTAGAAAATAATCTTTCCGCAGCTTCCGGTTTCCCCAGTTGGTGCACCCTGTCGTCGGATCGGAATTAAGGCCTACGATTTCAAAATCGCCCCCCGAGTCCGCAATTTCAAAGAGTCAAAAGGTCCCGGACGGTGGATTCGAGAAAAAAAAAAGAAAACAGGGCGAAGCCATCGAGGAGCACTCGGATGCAAGTGCAATTGCGGCAACGAGTTCGATCCTCCGCGACCGCGGAGTGCACTCGAAGTGCAGGCGGAATTCGAGAATAGCTCCGGAGGGCTCCGATTAAATTATGCAATCGTTCCTGGCACCCGGAGAGCAGCTCCGCATGCGGTATCTCGGAATCCGAAATTCCGATGAATTCCCCTGCATCCCCCTCGCCCCCTCGTCCTTAAAAAAGAGCTGCAGCCTCTTTAAGAAAACAAATTCCGTCCGATAATTTCCGACCACTTCGCGCTTGGGAAAATTGGCGGGTCAGCTTTTTTTTTTCTCGCGATTTTCTTGCGATTATCGGCGAATACTCGCCCGATAAAGGCTCGCGGCGTGGTCCGCTATTCCGGGCTCGTTCGTCCCCATGGCAACGTATCCTTCGTCGACTGACCTTGAAAACGGGGCGAGGGGGCCGACGGGGTGGTAACGCGTGTCACGCCCCGCGGAACTACCCCTTAGTTACCTCCCGCACCGACCCGGAATATCCCTTTGCCGCCCCTCGGCCAATTAGTCGGCGGGAAATCATTCAAATTATCCTCGGGACGTCGGCCGGGGAAGAATTCGACGTTTCGGGACCATTTTCCGTATTCTGGGCAGGACGCGGGGCTCAGGGATGGGGAAGGCTCCAGGGGTTGGATCGGAATCGGGGAAACCGACGGGGAAGGGGTGCGAATCGCCGACTGCCCCTTCGGGCCGAGTCGAGGGTCCTGATTTTTTATTCAAATTTTACTCTGCCACTGAAGGGGTGCGTCGAAAATTATTCAAGCACTCTTTCGGGGTTTATAAACATTTTCCCCCAATTTCGGGTTTCCGACCCTTTTTTTTTTCTGCTCTCGAGCGGTGGCAGAGAGGCGCGTGTTCGTTCAGAGGGCGGGTCGACGATGGCACTGGCCACGGGACTCGATTTAGGCAAATTTATGGAGATCCGTAATTTGGTAGCCACCGAAATTATGGAGACATTACGGAGCCGGGTTTCGCGCATGCCGGTAGGCTGATACCGCGAGCCTGATAACGGGTCCACGGCAAAATCTAATTCTCCCACCCTGTCCAGGTTCGAGAGGGCGAATTTGGGAGTTTTGGAAAATTTTTGGGAGCCACCTGGAATCGCGCGATATGACTTCTGGATATGGAGTCCTTTAAAGGGACCGACGTACGAATCAACAACCTGTTGAAACGCGCGGCAAACCGACCGTTCGAGCATGTAATTTTCTATTCCTAATTCAATTCGGGTCAGAGTTTTCGAAACGTATACGAGGCGTTTCCTTTTCCTTCATTTCCATTTCCGCGGGATTCGAGGTGCTGCCGAAATTGGAGCAATTTACTCTAGACGGTTCGCGCGTAATTAATCCTAGAGAGCGGAGCCAAATGCGACACGCGTTACATTTCTAATCAGCTTCATTTGAATTTCCAGATCACACCCTAACGTTGCATATTCCTTCTGGAGGGAGTCCATTGAAACGTCTGCACAGGCTCCGACCCCTCGCGGGCGAGATTGCACGTTAACCGACAACTTCGCGGATTCATGAACCGCGCTTGCATATACGAACGGGTTCGCGTCCACCTCCGAGCTGATTTTCTATGAACGCGCGAGAGAGAAAAAAGCATCCGGACGCGAGCGTATCAAAGGACGCGCTGAATATTAAAATACCTGACGAGGTACTGGAAAAACTCTCACTCGGTGTATGGTTTCTATTAAATGACCCTTTTCACGACCTAATGACTGCGGCGATCGAGGAAATTCACGAAAAAAAAAATTTGGACCAAACGTGAAATGCAATAAATCCCCGTTAAAGTAGCTCGGACGATTCGAGACCCACGACGAGGACGAGGTCAAGATTTTCTATTTTTTATTATTTTCTCGAATATCGGGGCCAATTTCGACGTTTCCTTCAAAGGCGGCTAAAGACCGCGTCGGTCGGCGGAATCGCGGCTGGACGGCGTTCTGGAGATTTTCCGGCGCGGAAACCTGCTTTCCGCAGGAAATCTCGGGGAAATTCTCTCGAGCCGAGGAAGCTTTCGACGCCACGCGGTGACTCCGTCGAGTTTACGAGTTTCCTCGATCGAATCGACGTTAACTTCGTCATAGCCCATACCGGCTCTCCTCTCTTTCTCTCCTCGGGAAATTTCCACCGGATCCTTTTCCCAAAATATATAGGGTGGAACCCGCGTCGATCCCTGGCAAGCTTTCGACGTTTGGTTTACGATTTCCCCCAATTGAATCGCCGTTACCTCCGTTATAGCCGTCTCGAAATATTTTGCCGAAAAATGTTCATCCTCTTTCCTCGTCCCTTGGATCGCCTCGAAAAATACGGGAAAATTGTCCGAAAGTGGTGAAGGAGTTTCCAAAGATTTTACATTACCTCGTTCTCGAAGGGAACGATTCAAGATCCAAGACGTTCCATTATTTAGCGAAGGAACGCCTAAATTGACTCAATTTATTGCCGTCAGGCGATTTTGTTTCTTATGGCTGTCGTTACGTCGGCTCGACCATTAAGCGTAAAACCCGAGTCCGACAAAATGCAGTCGCTTCTCACTTTTACAAGTCCAAGCCGTCAAATTAAACACCGAGCTTCCCTGGGAATAGCCGCCACGATTAACGATGGCCCGGTGATAAATGGGACCTCGGCATCCCTCCCTAACGATGCGCCTCCTGGATCGATTCCCGGTTCCCCGAGTTCCTCGAAATCTTCCCGTCGGTGCTCTCCGTCCCGAGATTTCGACAAAACACGCCGAAGGGAGTCTTTTCTATTACGCCGTCCGGGGGTGAGGATTTATCGCTAATACGCGGATAAAAGAAAAGTTACCGTCGGGTTTGCCCACGACCGTGAAGCTCGCTGCAACCGAGGCAAGTGCACCGAAAAGGGATCCGAAATTCCAACGCGAGCGTCGCTTCTATATATTATATATTCGGTATATTACCGAACTCGAGTTTTCACTCGTAAACGGAAACGAGCTGGGATGCTTTTTTTCGCCCAACGACTGATGTTCGGCCAATCCCGTTTGGAAAAAAAGACCCCGTCGATTGACTTGCCTTCCAGACGAAATTTCCTCGACGAATCGCTCGCCGTGGACGCGTTTAAACAAATTTTGGAAAACGGTTCATCGCGTACACGGAAATTCCCCGTAAACATTCTCGGGGTCAAATTTCGGCGAAAACTACCTCGCCAAATGGGCGATATACCCCGCGTAAACAAAAGAGTGTCGCATTTCATTCTGCGATACGCGGATCCGTGATACTACATCCGACTCGATCACTTTTGGAAACCGGAGACTGTCGTAGAATAAATTTCCTCCCTGCAGAAAATTCCCTCGTCGAATTCCTTTACGTCGACGAACCCTATAAACTTTCCTCACGAGTGGGCAATTTTTTTTTTGGGCCCGAAATTTCTCATGAATTTCTCGGTGTAAAATTTTACTGCTAAACGCCACGTCAGGAAGACAACTTTATGCATCGCGTAAACGGAGTCGCGCTTTAACTTTTTTCGCGGATTATGCGTACCGACTCGACGGCGTAATTTCGATGCAAATTTTATCAACAAGTAGGTAACTTTCTCGCACGTTATTTGCCGAGTCTCGAAGTCGCGATCTTTTGAGAAAATTTCCTAAGTAAACAATGTCCATCGTCGAGATTCCGCGGAGAGGGAAGAAGAGCGTTAAAGGGCATTCGATATCAATTCGTCTACGAAATCTGCATTCCAACGGCACCAACGGAATTAGGGGTCGATTGGAACTCTACGCGATTCGATGCGATCCCTATCGATGGCACCGATCAAACAAACGGAACAAACCATGCAAATGATATATTTAAACGAGTTAACGGCCCTCGTTCCCTGGATTACCTCCTCGGAGTTCTCGTCCGCCACGAGATTCGAACGAATTGGGAGTACAAGGAATGATTAATTACATAAAGATAATAAGTAAGGGGATAAGCTCAATTGTAATTCGACTGACCAGCGCGTCCACGCCATGGGGGGAGAAGTCATCACCGGAGGTCGATCTGCTGCACCTGACAGCTTTGACAGCGCCGGCGAGGCAAAGGACGACGTCGTCCAGGCGAAGTCCCGCGGAGGGGTCTTCGAGGCGGGTGAACTTGCGACCGAGGCGCGACCGAGGCGCGACCGAGGCGCGACCGAGACGCGACCGAGACGCGGCCCAGGCAAAGCGTCGAGCCGTGGAGGCCGCGAGAGCGGAGCAGCTTCGGACGCGCTCGAACTCACGAATGGGCAGAAACCGTCGAAGCGACTCACGAGAGGATGCGCACACGCGTGAGGCGCGGAGCCGACTGTCGCTGGCCACGCTCGACCCTGCCCACGCAGCGCCACCTGTGCGCCGGAATATTCCGCCACCGACGGGGGGAAACCGCGGGGCCCAGTGCGCGCGCATTCCCGCGGACCCGACACCTGGCCCGGCGAGCCGACGGTCGCACTGTCAATGAACGAACGGTAAATTTTTTATTTTATCCCCCGGCTACACGCGGAAGCATCCCCGTTAACGTAGGAATAATTCCGTACCTCGTAGAAGTTACGGCACGACCCGCGGAATTTTCGATTCACCTTTTCTTCAATTCTTTTTTTTTTATTTCCCATCTTTCGTACGACGAGATAAAATATACATTTCTTTGTAAATTCTGTTTCACATGCCCATAGTTTTGTGCTCGTGTTCGCAAAGAATAAATTCGACGGCACCACGGACCCCGTCCTCTCGATCGTCACGGCACTTACCTACCGTTTACTCCCTGTCGAGAGTTCTCGCAAAAGGTACGTACGGAAAAGCTCGTCGTGAATTTACGTGAACCAATTCTGACGCATATACGTGCGTCAGTGCGTTGCGTTTGATTGCCTGCACTTTATTATACACGTGCGAGAGAGGGAGAAAGAGAAGAGAGAGCTCGAGTTAGGATTGCGACGGAGCGTTGACAATTCATTCTATTGATCCACGTGAATGCATTTATTTCCGAACCATGGGGTACGGGACGAATCGAAAGAGAGAATGAAAGAAAGGGAGGAGAGGGGGCGAGAGAGCGTCGAAATGAACGCAACGAGATATACAAAAATAGGAATGACTCAAACTCGCTTGTGTAAGGGCATGTCGAGCATCCTGGATGCACGATCCAGGATGACCAGGGTCATGAAATACGAATTACACGAATAAAGTAGGGTAAGGATAAATTTCGTAGTTCGACCCTGAAGATTGTACAAAAATCAGTCAATGGAAATTACAGTAAAATTTAAATCTCAAACGTCTGGAACGTTTATAAGATATAAATTTTAATAAACTTCTTAGATTTGTTGTCAAGAATGCAACGATGGCTTGAGAATACAAATATTACGTAAACCATGTATCGATATAATGCAAGGAATAATTCGTTCCGTAACGGTACTACACCTGATGTCAACGGTAACAATGATAAATCTATTGAGTCTGTAAATTGATGTAACCGTTAATAATCGGCCTCATTTTTAGCCGATAATTGACATTATTTACATAAACGAGATGTCGAGTCAAGCCCCGTGTTCGATTTGACCCGGTACGACGGTCTCTTATAACAGTAGAAAATAAAGGAGTAATAATGGTGATTTCTGTACTATACTTTTTGGGACACAAAAAGCCCATCATATTATAAAGAATATACCGCTATGAAACGCGTGTTCATACGCACCGGAACGCGTTTGAAATTAGATAACAGCTCTTTTTACGGAAAATCACAGAATCGCGATACAACCATTGAACGGCGTTTCGCTGTATAACATGTATAAACATGATATCAGTTTTTATCGCTTTTATCCAAATGCACTGTACAGCGGCCGTACGGAATTCGTTAAATCTGTTTCTGTAAACTCTAATATAAAACGAGTTATTATATCACAGTATTACCTTAGTATAAGATAAATAGGTTTTGAGTTTCGATCGTTAGAGCACAACATTTTACACGACCAACATAAAATATCGTATCAAACTTACCGCTAATTATAATTATCTCGATTGGTTTGACTAAAATCACGACGATTGCATTTTTTTAGGGCCTTGGACAATCCCCCAATTGATTATCGATAAAGGAGAAATAAAACATGTAACATAAGGAAAAGCACCCTGATTTCTACAGGAAACCAATTTAGCGAATTTCACACGGCACCTCCACGAATATCTCTTCATAAAGATATTTCAAGTAGAGAAGAGACTGCGAACGAGGATCTATGGAACGCACTAAGAACCCTTTCGTGACGATAACCCGACAATATTTTGCAGTTCTTCTGAGGAAGAAGTAATAGAATTTCGATGTAAACGTGGAGCTAGGTCTCACTGCACCGAACCTGCATATGCAATGCTATATTTGACCCAGTCTGACTCGCCTTTCTGCAAAAACACTTTCAGTGTCAGAAAGGTAGCAGAAGGAATCTCCTCGATCGTTATCTCTATTCTTCTCCGTTTTTCATAGTCCGCAAATGCAAGCGCAAAAAAGAAATAGTCTCCATCATTATAGTCGTCATGGATGTATCCGTTAATTTTCGTGGGATCCATCCATTCAATTTAGTATTGACTATAGCAGTGAATCGACATTGTGGACCGTCAACACCGTCAATGTCTTCCATTGCCCAACAAGTCACACCGTTTTCTCCCCTAAAAGTAATAATTGTGCTCAGCTTTTTATTAATATCAATTTCAGGCCCATGACCCGAGTAAAAGGGTGTGGCTTCTGTTTGATTCGTAATTATTTTGAATAAATCAATGAAATTGTTAATATGCATTCATTAAAAAAAAAAATATATATATGATATTTAAAATATTCACCTGACAAAATTCGGTCGGCTTGGAATGGAGGGATGCGTTATGGAGATTCCAGCGGTTATCTGAAAATGTCCACGTTCTGCACGCCTTCGTAACATAACAAAATCTCTTGCGGAAATGACACCACCAGCATAAGGCACGGAACACTGATAGACAATGTCGGTATCTTCGTCGATAACCTGAACACAACAATTTCAATATATGTATAATGAAAACATTCATAATTTTAAGTCACGATGCTGCATTAGTTTGTCGAAATGGATATTTGTCAAAATACAGATAAAAAAAATATATATCTAGTGGAACAACTGCTGACTTACCTGTATCCTCTTACATATTTCGACATGCTTATACCACTTCCACATTGAATCGATTTCATCGAAGATCCTGTGCATAAGACTTTTGTCTGTTGCATCGACAACCCCCTAAGAAAAAGCAAAGACAATAATTTTTATGATTCGATAAACCTGATAGTCCAATAAAATGTGCCTAATCAATTTCAATGACAGGTATCTTACAACATGGCGTTAAACTTAAATGAAAAATATCAGTAAACTTACCGTTATCCTCCGGATCTTTTCTTTTGATTTTATAGAGCTTGAACTTAAAGTGGAAATAATATCACCTTCTTCGGTCACTTTATCTACAACCCAATCAGAAGATGTTAAAAGTTCATAAGCTCGTTCCAATGCTGCCGTTGCCTTAAGCATGTATTCGTCAGCCTGTAAATACATAAGAATTTTAGTAATCAACACATCACAAAGATGATGATTTATTTTTTTTCTTTTCCGAGAGTACTAGGCAGTACTTACAATTACATCCGAATTATCATAAAAACTATCTGTCACAAATTGCTTTTGATTGGTGCCATATATGTAACGACTACCAAAAAGAAGACTTTTAAGGGCGCTGATATCAAACGCCCGAATAACTTCAAAAAGCGCCATTGAACACAAATTTTGTTGATTTCACTAAGAAAATCGATATTCGACTGAGTACTAAAACATTTCGTGCCCACCTTTAAATTCTTTTATAATGATCATTAGTCCTGATTCACACACACGGGAAAGGTGATTCCTTTGCGGAGGGAGAAACACGTCTTAACCTTGATTTTTCACATTTAAGGTTGCCGCTCACTATAACGCATCGATATCGTACTGTGCACTGGTGGACATGAATGCCTTCCCGTTGTGCATTGGCAATGGCTGCAGGGAAGGTATTCATGTCCGCCTTTGTACATGACGCGGCATTTCATGTTCTTTATGTACGAGTACATATTGAATTGTGAATCAAAAAGCAAACCTGCCTTTTGTGGCGTGAGTTTTGGCATGATCGGCACCACTATGTGGTCCCCTGGCCTGGCAGTTCTTTGGGTTACAAATGGCTTGCTGTCGTTGTCCTCATGGTCGGAATGAACGGGCGAGTCTTCGGGAGTATAAAAAACACCAGTACTTTCGGGATAATTGGAAACTCCATCGAGATATGGACCAAGCAAGGGAGCTCTTTCAGAGTTGATGGACGCTGTGAATTAAAATTTAATATCTGATGAAGGGATATCCTATTCCGATTAAGATCAATGAATGTTGCTAAGAGATTATATCAAATATATTTCATTAAATTCTTTGTTTTTCTTTTTACCTTGAAACCAATCTTTTGCTTGGCATTCCTGAGACATGACTTTATCGAGATACCAGACCTCGATCCAAACTACCAGGAAGGAACTCAGGATCAGAACAATTGACATTGGCTGGGCAGTATGCGACCACTGGAAATAAAAACTAATATTATTCCATCTGGTTGGTTAATACTAACTAATTATAACTTGACACAAAATTTAACCAACTTACGTCATAAACACACGTTTTGGCAATGAGGAATGCAATTGTTGTAGCAGAAGTCAACTGAAATGTGATTCATGTACACTATAAACATATTTTTGCGATGTATATCTTTGTTTAGTTTTTTTTTTATTTTAAAAGTTTGATTATACTTACAGCTATGACATATGTATTGTCCAAGTACAGCAATCCGTAGAAGAGGAGCAATATCGTGAATCTACAAATCGCAAGCATCTGAAACAATAGTAAAATTTGATGTTTGGAAATAAAAAATTCATATAATACAAACTACTCTGCTAGAAATATTAATAAAAAATAAAATTAAAAATGTCTACTCACAAAGTAATCGAATTTTGACGCATAGATACTGTAATGCCAAACTTCTTCCATGACCGCCTTCTTGATGTTCTCTCCTGTGATCTGAAAGCATGAATGAAGTTCAATATTAAATCAAGTTAACTCCTTTTTCTTGTAGTGTCTTATTTTTATTAGGTTTAATTACTGATCACAAGTGCTGTTACCATTATAGATATGAGCCATACAAGGCCGATAAGAAGGACGTCAACGGTGACGAAAAGACAGAAGCATCTCCTGACACTAGACATTTTGCCCCTGAGTCTAGCTCCAGCGATCACGTCTTCGGTGACCACAGACATCCTATTGATACTTTGTGGAGTTACCGAACTTCGTTGCGAGTAGATGGATGCATTTAGAACAGACTCGGCTGTATCTCTGCGTGGCCGGTTATCCTCTGTCATCCTTAATTTTGAGAAGTCCTCTGTTGACGATGGTCAAACGATCAGGGGATTGGGATAACGAGTCACGTCATTACCAGGACAATGCCCGAAGCAAGATGGAGTGACTTCACAACACCGTATGTATCTGCCTAGTAAATTAAGAATTTTATATTAATTCATTTTTAAAGCAATTCTCTTGAAATTAACATATTTTTCCGTCCCTTAATAAGCTGTAAATTTATACATAATGAAACTCAGAGCGAGTCAATGTGGAAGGGAAAACATCCACTGTCAGCTGTAATAACGTTAAACATCAGATGTGTTCCATGCCAATATGAACAGATCTCCAGTTTGCATGTTGAGTTTTTATCGACTACCCTCAACAGAGATTTTAAAAGTCAGGAAATTTTAAGTTCGGCTATATTCATTGTCGGAAACGAAAAAAAAATTATTTCGCGGTTCCAGTTCTTACTGGATTGCTGTGGGAACTTCCTAACCTCAAACTCATACCGAAGCGTTAATATCTTAGCGCTTTTATATGCTAATATCAACCTCGATACTTTTTACCGCTAAGTCAACATTAATTTACAAGCACAAAGGTCAGTGAACGTGATTAAGTGATCGTGTACGAGCGTTCATTGTTAAATATTTGCTGTCGATTGTCACTTCAAAAATGTTATTTCGATGTGTACATTACCGTAGGTTTTAATTTGCTGATTCTTACCGCCATTGTCTCCAAAAATTCCTCGAGTTTTTCGCGCGTCGGTGACACATGATATAGAAATGTTCACAAAAATTTGTACGGCTTTATAAGCCTTTATCACGGTACTTTTGATAGTAAATACACAGATAAGTTGGAAGATCGCTCACGGGCAGGGTCGCGAGATCGCGTCCTGTGCTGCCCTCCGGTGGAGGATGCGGACGGCTAATGCACTTGCCACTTGTTACCCCTCTGTAGCGGCGCTACACATTTTCGGTGGGGGGGCTCGCGCAATCGCGATGGCCGATACAGGGTTTGAATCTTTTTTGAGGGGTCCTCGACTTTTTCAGCCGGTTTTCGGGCTGCTCAGCTCCCGGTGAATTTTATTCGCATCTGCGATCACGGTAACTGGTCGCCAACTTCTACCCGATTACGACTTTATCTTCGGAATGTCAATATTTCCGTTTCGGAGTGATATAAAAAAATCTAGAGATTCTATAATGTCACTATCGTAAACATATTTACGAAACGAAAACTTTGATACCCGATTCGTTGTATTTTAAAATCGAATGCGCTACACTTTTGCACGATCCAGCAAGTAGATCGGCATGGCTCGCATCCGCAATTCTAATGATCCAAAAGCGACAAATTCTAGTCCAAAAAATAAACGAGAATTCGAAACGGTTTCTGTATCGATCCTCGTAGCAGAGACTCTAACGATCTGCCGTCATCTTTATTTTCAGCACCTTAAATTTGTACAGCCACCTCTACAAGCCACGTCACGTACACGATCCGATCGTACGCGAATGTATATGTATATATATATATGTTCATATATATATAACTTTGAAAAAAGGAATTTTCAATAATTCTCATATTAAAGTACAATAGTGCGATACCATAAATATACCTAAGCCTAGGGGGTATCAATGAGTCGTCGATCACAGCGATTCGAGAACATCTCAACCTCTATTTTCGCATTCGTTAAAATTAGGAGAGGGATGGATGCGGGTGACGAGTCAACGCTGAAAGGTCATCGGGGGGTGTCGTCGTAGAGAATAGGCATAATATAATGTAATCAATAATATTATGCGGTAGCAAGTAATGCTCGGGTGTATACAATTAATTGATAATTAGCGTTTAAGAACTAATTGTTAGTTTTTAAATCGTTAGATTCTCCCGTCCACTCGGTGCCTCCCTCGGCGCGCGACATCGGGGCGCGCGCCGGTTCCTCGGGACTTTCGGGACCTCGAGCGATGCTCCACCGCTAAGAAAGAAAACTCCCTAAACGTACGTTCCCCTTTGCTGCTACGTCAACGAAGAACACTACCCTCTGCGGAACAGGCGGAACGTACCTAGTCGTTACGATTGCGCGAAAAGCTCCGCCCTGGTCTGCCTGGCGGCGACATCGGCGGCGGTCGCGCCAAGTAAACCGATACGTTACAGCGTATATTTATACTATGTATATGCCTATGTATATATTTATATATGTATATATAAAAAAAATAAATAACCAATATATTACAGCGCATCCAGTCCTGCGTGTCGCGCGTTCCTCCAACTGGTCGTTCGGCCTATTTCTCTCTCTCTCCCTCGGCGCCTCCCGGTCTCGATTATCAACACCCCCCAGCCGGCCTCGATTCGCCGATCTCGCTTATCGACCGTCTTGGCGAACTGCCGCGATTAACGTCGACGCCCTTAAGATTAACGCTACTCTAGTATTTGCATCCGCCGTCGCGAAACCAAACTTATCGTCGCGCCGGGCTCTATGTCGGAGCGAGCAACTTCTTTTCGGCGCTTTTTCGCGGACCTCTTCGCCCTCTTTCGCCCCTCCGGCGGATCGACCCGCTTCTCTCCGGAGGTCTCCAAGTAGAGAAGCAACGAAAGGGGAAGGAGGAGTCGCCGGACGATCCCGACTCGCGACAAAGAGTTTCTGCCGATGACGCGAAAAAACGCAGTGTCCGTCGTTGTCGCGTCGACGCGGTTTTTGGCAGAGTCGGGGCTCGGGAAATCGAGGCGCGTGTCGGGCTCCGAGGAAAGCGCGAAAAAGAAATTGCCCGAAGCCTGAGTCGGAGACACCGTCCGGAGGGGTTCGGTCTAATCGTAAAAGTGTCATCAGCGGGGGTCCCCCGATCGCGATTTCGTTTCTCGCTCGGGACCGAGTCTCTCGGGTGTTAACGATCGGGCCTCTCGATTCGGTGTACTCGACGCGTAAAGGTGCAATCGCGGTAAAAAGTCGCTTACAATAAAAAGATGCAAAAGACTCGTTTTAACGGGCTTCGCGCCGACCTCGCGAAGGCGCACTTCGAACGCTAAGCGTATACTTATTTTTCGTCGCTTTTTCTTCTTCCTTTATCTCTCGACAATTTACAAAACTATTGCTTCTCGAATACTTCGGGGTCGGAAAGCAACCTCGCTTTTTCCGGGAACGTCGCTGGGTTTGCCCGCCGATTCTTAACTTTCGACTCAATCCGTTTTACGTCCGCGCGGCTGCTCCGTCCAGCGCTTTCCTCCACGTCAAAGAGTCCGCGCGAGAACATATTTTTACTCTCCGAAAATGATTTTGCGCCCGTACCGTCGACGAGTGGACGTTACTTCGAAAAGCGTCCAAGTTACCTTAATTTTAGACCCGACGTAGAAATTGGAAAAGTAAAGGTGCAGGAGGCAAACTTCGGGATCGTCCGGTCGAGATTCGCCCGCAGTCGTTTCGCGATCGAAGGCTCTCGTTTTCTTTAATAGCTAAAATTTCGCGGAGGTTCCGGACGACGACCCAGAGGGCATAGAAAAGGGATCGGAACTTTCGACGACGATCGACGTAAAACGGATCAACGGGTCAAGGAGCATCCCGCGTTTCCTGAAAGTGGTCGCGAAACGTAAAGGTGCACTCGCAACGGTTCAAGCCGAGGTACGAAGCATAGAGCCCGGAGCTCGTTTCGTGCCTTGAGAAAAGAGGGCCGCCGGTCGGTCGACGCGTCGCGATCGGTCGGCCGATTTTTCCTTTCCCTATAATATCACAAAGAGTCTCGGCCGAAAAAGCCGCGGTCACCCTGGACCCCGGATCGGCGTCGAGAACTCCTCCCGGCGAGCGATCGGCCCCCGACCGCCCGTCGCCGATCGCCTCGCTCGGACCCTCCCGTCGTTCCCATTAAATTCATTTTACGTCATTTTTTCAATATAAGGCTCCCACAGCAGTCTCACGAAGTAGCATCAGTTCTTGTATCAACGATAAGTGGACGTTGGCCGAGCGAGTCGGCCGGCCCTTTTCCGGCCAGGGCGAGGGTCGCCCGAAGGAGAAACGCGGGCCGAGAAAAGAGCCGGACGATCGGCCGCGTCCGAGTTTTTCTAAGCATTAAAAGCCGACTCCCTAAAGACACCCCGGCCAAGCGAAACGAGTAGTTCGCTCCTAGACGCGAACGCGAATCGGACCGGAAAGGGACTCCCCCGAGGCTCGACCGAGCGATCGTTCGTTCTTCCTCCCCCGTGACCGACTTGTGCTACCGAATATGTATATATGTATATGCATCCCAGGCGCGGAGGGTGAGTGCGAAGGGACGAGTCCGAGTACAAAAGTATAACAGAGTGGGAACGGGGCCGATAGCGGCGAGATGCAAGCCGCCAAGGTAACGACGAAAGATCCGGTCGACGTCGACCGCGCGAGATCTCGAGAGCTCGTCTCCTGTCGGAAGGAGAAGCGAATTCTGGGGGTCGAGGCGGGCGGCGTCGGTCCGAATCCGTCCGAATCGGTTCCCCCCCGCCCGTGGCCCTCCTCGTCGAAATTTAGAAATCAGTCCGGAAGGCCTCGCACCCGCGGGCGGTTCCTCGTCGGAAGCGTCTCCGGTGCTCGGTCGTTTCGCCCGCCGAGGACGTCCCGAAGAGTAACGAGCGTCGAACGCGATCGCGATTCTCCCCCCGCGCTCGCCTTGCATCTTCCTCGTCGCCTCCTCTCCGTTCCTACTTGTCTCTCTCCTCCTGGCTAAATCTAGGCGCGATAGCGCGAGTAATCCTAGGGCGTTTTCACCTCGAGGTCGACGCACGATGGTCCCGACTTCCCGATGCGTTCGCACGCTCCTCCCACCCCCCTCGCCTAGCCTTATACGCCATTAACTATCTACGTTATATTAATATACTTCGATATAATCCTCGCGCGCCTCCCTACGCTCTCTTATATATCCTACAACCACAGCAGGTACTGTATATAATATTATGCGCGCGCGAGCATTCGCGCACCAGGTGCAGGCGTGCACGCGAGGAATGGGCGCGAGGAAGGGGAAGCCGATCGCTCGACCGCCCTTTCGCGCCATAGAAGATATCCGACGCTGCGAGCTAATCGGACGTCGACGTCCTTCTGTCCGGTGTACGTTTTCCTTCGCTTCTCGAGAATTTCCTCATCCCAAAGACTCGCGTGCACGGGTGCACTTCCGTTTGCCACGGGAGTCCCTCGGCGACCGCTGAGATCCACATCACAGTTGCGGGGCGCGCACCAGCTTGCGCCCGCAAGAAGAACACATTATTGGTTTTCCCTTATTTCGCGTACAATCCTCGTTCCTTGGAGTCAAGGTGCTCGTCAAGGTGTCCGTCGCAGTCGTCGTCGTCGTCGTCGTCTTGGTTGGTCTCGCGGTCTTCGTCGGCGGGTCCTGGCGGACCGGGACCCGTCTCGCCTCGAGAGACGCGCGATTACGTCCTTGTCCCTCGGCCGATCGGACTTTTCGCCCTCGCTTCTCGTCGTCCGACTTCGAGGTCCCTTGCCAAGCGTTTGGCCCATCCCAGTCGTTGGTCCAAGTCTCCCGGATTCTTCCACCACCGCCCACGTCATCGTTCCTCCAGCTCGACGAACGCCCGGGGGACCATCGCGAGGACCGCAACGATTAATGTCTACGAATACCACGATCTTAAAGCTAGGTCTCGGCCTCGATCCCAACGAACGGGAACTCGAACGAACGGGGCTATCGAACGGTTACGTTTATCGTTATACCCGCGTCCGGCAAAAGATTCGCCGTTCGCTCGATGGTCGTATAAAAATCGTGTAACCGTGTACGAAGCGCCCAATATTTCTTGCCCATAGGACTTCGCGTTCGTCGAGCCGCGAGCGCGTCCACGTTGCAATTTCTGAAAATGCAAGGTGTACGCGAATCCTGCTCGAGGTCGAGCACCCCTCGGTCGCGGCGCGGGTCGCAGGGTCGAATAAACGGTTGTACATCTCGAGAGAGTGAGAGAGAAAGAGAGAGAGCGAAAGAGGTGCCTCAGGAGGTAGGCGAGAGGCCGAGAAACGCGGCCGGGTCTCGCGCCAAGAACACATAGCGAAGCGCGGCGCGCGCGAAACTTGACCGCGTCTCCGCGAAGCCGCCCTTTAAGGGCGAACAGTCCCGGAACGAGGAGATGCGCGTGGCGCGACTTTCGAAAGAAACGTTCAGGTATAAAAAATACGAATACCGCGGCCTGCGACCCGCTCGGCTCCCGAGGACGGCCCGACCTGCGCCTAGTCATAAATTTACAATTATCCGTCAACTTTTGTTTATTCATATATATATTATAAAATTTAACTCCAAATTGCGATAATAACGGTTCTCTAGGTTGCAACGTGAGGGTACCCGGTCCGTAAACGGTCGCGTCCGCGGTTACCGGGTGTACCCGGCCGAGGCGCGTGTCCCCGGGGGTCTCGGATCTCATGCGCGTTCGCATCGCTACATTAAACGAATCCTAGGTGTTTAGTCGTTAATCGATAACGTTATGCCCGCGTTCGCCACCGAAACGCGTCGACGCACGGGAGGCGCGACCTCCGCCTCGGCCGGGCGCCTCGATCTCGACCTCTTCGTCCTCGTCCTTTCGTCCCGGGGGACGAAAGGGAAGCCTCCTCTCGACACCTCGGGATCTCTCCGGAGTCCTGCCAGCAGGACACTCGATCCGCGTCGGAAGGACCGAGGCTTTCCCGGGCCCGGGAGCCGCTCCAGTCGCTCTTGGAGAAGTCGCCTCCTCTTCTTTCAAGAATTTCTTCCTCTCGAGGAGGGAGCCTCCACCTCTTCTGGGACTTGGTGTTCCCTCGGTGCGCCCGCCGAGACGTGGATCCGCGGGATCGGCTCGATCGAGTCTAGCTACGGTGTCGGTGCGGGTATACGCGCTTGTGTACGGTGTCGGCCATGGCGGTCCCAGGATAACGTCCTCCTCTTTCGTTGCCGGGGCTCGCCGGATTCCGGCCGAGTCGACGCCGATCGCTCGCGTTCCGCGCGAAATCCGCTCCGCTCCTCCCGAGCGATCCGGCCGGAATCCTCGTCCCTCGAGCTCTCCCTCTCTCGTCCCTACACTCATCCCCGGACTGTCCTGGCAGGATTTGTAACCATATTAGTCAATATATACTTCTTTTATCGTAACAACCGATAGCTCATCTATATATATATATATATATTTATAATATATATATCTTATATTTCTTATATATACTTCTATATATCTTTCATATATATACTTTATGTTGTTTTTATGTATACTTTATATATAACAATGTTATGTTTATTTAAGGCCCAATACGTTCATTACGAAGGAAATAATCTGCAACAGAAAAGGAGAGAGGGGCACGGTTACTCTCGTTGGAATTACGACGAAGCCGAGTGAAGTTGGCCAAACCCACGTACCGAATTTTCGTAACCCTCAAAAGGTGCGTTTAATATTCCTAACGCTCGGGTGGACCACGCGAAGAACTGGCCGAGATTGACGCAACTTCACGCTTTTTTCAAAATCGAGGAGTCGACCGCTGCCGAGGTATTCCTCGGTGGCAAACGATCGGTCCGGAGAGAAGATCGGAAAGCGGTCGATTCCTCGATCGAGCCCGGATTTCGATTGGTCACCTTGTCGGAGCAAGGCCCCGCTCGTCACTCGCACTCGTCGGCGTCGTCCGGTAGCCGCGTTGGGTCGCCCTGCGCCGCTTCGGCCGTTCAGCTGTCGACGCTGAAAAGCTCTTTGTGAAGGGCCGGAAATTCGAGGAGAGGTTGCGACCGCTTGAACTTGGCGAGGGCGTCCATGTGCCGAAGGGAGATCTCCCGGAGCTGCGGGATCTTGGCCAGCATCGCGTCGCAGACCGTGACGTCGCCCTTGATCGGCGACAGGTGATTGCGATCGAGCTCGGACCTGAGGGCCCTGATGACCGCCTGCGAGAGCCTCGTGATCTCCGTTTGGCCCTTCAATCCCGGCCGATCTGAAATTATCAAAGTCTCGGTCACACCTCGACTTCTCGACGGCCTAGAAGCATTCGAAGAAAGGTAGAGGCGACGCTCACCTGGGCTGAGGAGAACCGCGGCGCTGTAGAGCGCCAGCTCGGTCTCGGTCAGCTTCAGCTCGGCGACGCTCCTCGCCAGCTCGAAAACGCACGACACCAGCTTCATCTCCGCGGTGTCGGTCGTGTAGAAGGCGTCCTGCGGCAGCATGGTGTCGCCGTAGAGCACGCAGTTCTGCTGCAAGTCCAGATACCTGCTCATGCGCAACACGGCCAACTCGAAGGAACCTGCGAAGTCGAAAGATCTCCCTTGAAGCGCGCTTCGAAACCAGGAAACGCGATTCCGCCGAGGCTCGCCCACTCACCGGCCTTCAGAAGGACGATCTGGTCGTCCTGCGAAAGCTTCATGAAGCCCGGCACCATCTTGGCGAACTCGATGATCTGTTGGATGACCGTGGTCAGTTTTTGGGCGCACTCGAGCCAGAGCTGTTCGTGGGCCATGTTCTTGTAGTAGATCAGTTTGGACAGGTCGTGCGGCTTGCGGAAGGACTCCTGTATCTGCTCGGTCGACATCAGGCACGTCCTCGTGTGGGCGTCCGCTATCGTCTTGGAGAGCAGCTCGCTGATTTGTGCCGGGTCTGGAAAGGAAGGAGAGGCGACCCGTAAGTCGCGCCGAAAGGAACGGTCGAGGAGATCGACACTCGCGAGACACCGATGCAGCTTCGATCGAGCCCGATTCGGCCACCTCGTCGCTCTTCAAGTTCGAGCCTCGCGGCCTTGAAGTGGTCACCGGAGAACGGTCGAACGGACCGCGGGGCGCGTTCCCGACGGAAAATTACTTTTTAACGTCTACACTTATATTATGCTATTTTTGCGGAATCCGTCCGTGCGTTCTCTTCGACCAAGAAGCGAGAAGGGGCAGCGGCGCGCGCCGGACATGCTCATGCAGAGGGACACAAACATAACCTCACATCTCGTATGGGACATACTGGGCAGAGGGACTTCGTCGTCTTCGGGGGGATTGTTGACCCTCTGCTGCTGACTGTTCAGAAATGTCGTAGAGTCGACCATCGTGTAGGAACCATGCCCGAGGCTGGCGAGCTCGACGGCGCTCTCCTGCTTGACGGCGACGATCCCACCGCCGCTGAGGGACCCGCCGCCTCCGCCTGCGCCACCGCCTCCACCTCCGCCTCCTCCTCCGCCTCCGCCGCCGCCGCCTCCGCCACCACCACCACCACCGCCACCACCACCCCCGCCACCACCACCCCCGCCCCCTCCGGCGCCGCCTCCGGTGGTCGCAGTCGACAACGCTTTTCCTGAATCCCATCGAAACCACTCTTCGATCGAGAACCTCGAGCCGGTTTTACCAACTCTCCGAGCGATTTCCTCACCAGGGTGGACCTCTTCTCGAGGAAGGGGGTAAAGGAAGGGATGAATTTGGAGGTATCGACGTTCGGGAGAATTTTAGGAACAATTGCGTGGCATCGGGGGTGGAAGGCACGTGAGAAAATCCTCCAGGTTTGGTAACGCCGTCTCGTTTCGCCGTTTTTTACCTCCCGAGGTAGAGGCGCGTTTTCTCGTCGAACCATTAGCTCGGGCTCGCCGACTAGCAGGGCATGGGCAAATCGACCAGGGTCCACCGAAAGGATAATACTTCTCGGACAAACGGGGGACGATCGCTTCCGTTAAACCTTCCACTTGGAGCAAGGTGTGCATTTCTCGCAGGAATCGTGGACTTTGTCGCGCTCCGCTAGTCGGTAGCTAGCCGCTGGCAGCGACACTCACCGGTGGTGACCACACTGGGAAGTACTCCTGTCGTGTTGACGGATGAGTTGTCGGGCGCGACGTTGTCGACCTGCTGCGTGGGTCGCGGGTCGTACGTCGTCGTGCTGTCGACGTAGTCGGCGCTGAGCTCGTAGTTGGCCATCGCCTGGTGGTTGTAGTACCCTGATCCTCCCGTTCCCGGGCCTGGCGACGCGTAGTCGCTTCCACCGTACGCGTATCTGCGCGGGAAAGGAAGAAGGCCATACAGAGTTAAGAGAATCGCGTCCAAGTGAGTCCCGTTTTCGAGAACCGTCCCTCGCGTCGAGGGAACTCGGTTAATGGGACACCCACCGCGGCGGCATCGACCCTCGGCGTCGTGCTTTTCGATTCCCGAGTAAGCGTTCACTTTGTAGAAAGTTAACTTTTACCTTGGAATTAAAACTCGCGCGACATGGAACGAACAAACGTCCGGAGAGTCAACGTCGCCGCGAGAGATTACGAGCGTCTTCGACGAGCGCTCGGATTTTATTACAGGGAATTATTTCAGGGGGCGATCAGCCCCCCTTATCGCGAGTCGCCGTATACCGACCCGCCATTGTAGGAGTGGTGTTGGTCGGAACTGCTGGGCGTCTGATGCTCGAAGACGCTGCTGTCGGGCGCCGTCTCCGAGGCCGCCCTCATCTGCGCCCTGTGGAACCTGACCTCGTCCTCGACCTTCTCCCTCTGCTTCTTCGACATGCGTCCGAACTTAACGGCTGCAAGCAGAAATCCATGCATTAGACCTCTTCGTCGCGGTTCCAGGACGCGGCACGTCGGACGCCCGGAGGAAACCCGGGGAAGAGCGCGGGAGCGAGGTTACCGGGCAATTAGTTGCAACAAAGGCTCGGCCCGATCGCGCTCAAGACTGCGCACTTCGGGCCGGGCCGAGAACAAAGGGAGCTCTAATGAGCCGAAAACAATCAAACATCGTAATTACTTTCCCCGATATTAAATCCACCGACTTCGGGGTCGATACGTGGCCCGAAAATGGCGGCGGCGCTCCAGGGACGCGCCTTCGCCGAGAGGAAGTACCCTCCCTCGTAAAAGGGACCGACGTCGACTCCCGCTCGACGATCGACGTCGTCGTTCCTTTGCCGGGACGCGCGGAACCGTGACCGAACTTCCTATCGGAGCCGTCGACCACGTTAACTCTACAAAATAGCCTGGGAAGTAATTCGCCCCTCTTTCATCGTCCCGTTCAAATTCAAATCTTCCTTTCTTTGCCGCGACTCGTCGGCCTCGAAAGCGCGCGCCATCTTCCTCTCCTTCCGCGAGCGTCTTATCCGCGGAGAGCGCGTGTCAATTCTTCGGGGCCCTCCGCGCCGCGGCGCCGCGGCGCCGAGACTCGGCGAATCGGGGCGGGTGGTCCGGGCGCATGCGCCGCTCGGGAACGCGGAAGCGAGGCCGGTGACGTCACGGCGGACGCGCTACGTCACGGCTTCTGGCGGACCGCTAGCGCGCCCCTCGCGCTTCCATGCGCCTCGTCGGCGGGGAGGGGGGCGCGTGACGTAAGGCCAGCTGAACCGCTAGTGGGCCACCGCCGGCGAGGGGAAAGAGAGAGGGGAAGCCAAACGGAGAGGAACTCGTGGGTGATCGACCGAGCGCGAGTCGGAGGGGCGCGAGAGAGAGGGGGACTCAACCAGGAAGACCGAGTCGGGCCTCGCGGGTCTCCGATGCGTTTTCTGGCACTATATATAGCGCAGCCGAGCGACGCCTTATCGTCGGACGCGCGTTACGGACGCGGCGGCCGCGACTTTGGACGGCCGCGCGCCGCGGAAGGTCGCGGATCTCTCCCGGACGGATTTTAGGATCGATCTCGATCGGGTGGACGGGACGTCGCGTGGACCAGGTGCGCCCGTCGCGGGTATCGATCCGTCCCGCGTTTCCGTTTCTATTTCCGTCGGCGGCTCCGAAGGGCCCGGCGCGAGTCGCGCGAATTTCCGGCCCCCAGGGGCGAGGTACGCGTTTTTCCGCTCTCCGTTTCGTTCCCCGCGACGTTAATTATTGGAGGTATCATAGCGCGGATGCGTTCTTAACGTCCCGATATCGCGACTCGTCCTCCTTTATTCCTCCCACGTGCGCGACATTTAGGGCCCGTTTGTTTCAGCGGAGTGCCAGGGCAGGTGACATCTAAACGCTGCTCATCGGATCGTCCTTTGTTAGCGGGGCACGTGTCGGGCACAAATGTCAACGTCTCACCTTTCGTCGGGCCATTACGGCTGCCAGTGTAACGAGAATGACAACTGCGGCTTCGAGTCGACTGGAAGTCGACTCGAAGTCGTCTCGCGCGCCTCGTAGGCACTATACATGGTACATGTATTTGGCGGGAAACTCAGCCGAGCTCTTATCGCGAGCGAGGTTGACAGGGTATCGTTTCAGCCGCTCGACGGACTCGGAATTGTCGTCGAACCGACTTTTTAATGAATATCCGGATACCGTTGCCGCGTTTCGAAAAAGATTCTCGAGTTCATATTTTCAAGATATATTTATAATTTTTTAACGAAGGCTCTCTCCCTTTTCGTCCAATATCTTGACAATTGGTATTCAATTTTTTCAATCGGAAAAAAATTCCAACTCGAGTGAATCTTTACGTTCGATTAAAAGAATTAATTCTTATAGGGAGAAAATATCGTGCTCGCGTTTAATTATCAACTTCACGGCGGGTATTTTGGGATTTCGTTTGTTCCTTCGCGGGCCCGATATCCGTAGGTACGGACGGACGGCGTTGTCCGTGATAAGACGGACACAGAAGAGAGAGAAAGTAGGATGGAGAGAAGAGGCAGAGAGCGATAAGGGGTCGTGCACCCCGAGCGGCGCGCGTGCCGCATGCGGAGTCGCACACGTCGCATCGGAGTTTCCCAGGTGGAAAATTCACCCTTGTCTTTCCCCACGATTTCTCCCGTATATGCGTTTCCGACCCTTCCGTTCGGCCGAAAAACATCGGGGGACTGTAGGCAAAAATTCTACCCGTAGCGTAATATTAAATCGCCCTCGAGAAAAATATGGGCAGACCGTCCCCGTTCGTTCCGAGCACTTGTCAACGGTTAAAGGTAATTTTTAAATTTATACTTCCATAAATAAATAAATGTACTCTGCCTCTCGATTAAAGTGCCTCAATTTTGTCACCAGGAAATTCAAAATATCCCCCGAATTTACATGACGCGTAATTCCAGATTCATTATTCCACTTGGCATTGGGTGAACCGGAAGCCTGGCATTAGATGACTCCGCACTTCTTTTGTCAATGAATTAATCAAAATGTCGGATAAGGAGGAATTATCAGGGTCCTCGAAATTGCACTTAATGGATTAGTCGATTGACTTTCACCAGCGACAGCCTTTGTTTTTGAGTCTATACGTCAACTCACCGTCTCTTGACATGCCAAGCCGTAGGCACTTTTGCAGCCGGCAATACTGACACCGGTTCCTGTTGACCCGGTCGACCACGCAATTCTTGTTGCGAGGACATTGGTAGTTGACGACCGACGACTGAGACCTCCTGAAGAAGCCTTTGCAACCCTCGCAGGTGATGACTCCGTAATGGACTCCGCTGCTTTTGTCGCCGCAAACCTTGCAGGGGATTATCTCGATCTGGGCTGTAATCGAAACGTAAAACTCGTTAATACGCAGCTCTCGTTACGGAAAGTCGCGGTGGACCTAACTTATCGCTCGGGGAACAAAGGACCTCGATCGGACCATTATATGCAGATGGAAATCGTATCCTTACGAAAAACGTCCTCGCGCTCGAATTACGATCGCCATTTAATTTAATGTCCTATAATTGAAAAAATAGCGACCTAGTCGACGACCACTAATTTGGTAGTTCACGATAATTGCAAGAGAAATTAAATTTCTTGCACAAAGGTGCGCGGGGATAATTCATCATGGTCGAGCAATCGACGTCTAAGGTGAACCCGAGCGTTAAAAGGCCCGGCGTAATTGCGTAGATTATTTTGACCGAAATCGGTCCCGGCGTCGGAGAGCCCGATGGCCGATAATCGTCGGGGCGAGTCCGCATGCGGAAAGTGGCGACCCTATCGGGAGTTCTTATCGACGCGATCGCCCTCCGCGAGATTAACGAACTCGCTCGTACCGGCGATCTCGTACGGCAACGAGTGTTGGTACGCCGCGAAAACGGCGATCAGCCTCGAGGTAGTTTGGCCTGGCCTTGTAACATTCGGCAAAGCGTTCAAGGCTCCAAACAACGGAGTCGAGTAAACGCGGAAGTTCTGCTGGAACTTCAACGGAGACCCTCGAAATTTGGACGGCTTATCGCATCGATATCGCTCTTATCGGCGACTTCGATTCGTTAAACCGCAGGACATATAGGCGCCCCACCGGCGCCCAAATTATCGCCATTGGTCGCGAGCGTTGATTCCACCGAACCGAGCTCGTCCCTCGAATTCCTCCGCGCCGATCGACCGTCCAAAGACGACGTCGAGTTCGAGTCGTCCCGGAGGAAAATCGGAGCGGAAGGGCAAGCGGAAACCGTTGACGAGTACCAGCATTGCCCCCGTGATCACGTCCCACCGTGGACCGTTCCGCAATTGGCGCAAAACGTTGCCAAGGCCTCTCGGGCACCTAGCGGCGCGTTCATTCCGGGAGCGAGAAACGGCCTCGAAGAGCTACCTCTGATCGAGTTGGCCTGCACCCTCCTGTCCTCGAGGGCGCTATTTCCCACGGGGGCGGAAGTCGACGGCGGAGGCGGCCGCGGCCCTTCCGCGGGCCTCGCGCTGGTGCTGTCGGCGCCCCAATTCGGCCCGGCGAAAGCCGAGAGATCACCCTCCATTGGCACCTGCTCAGGCCACCGGCGGACGAGTCGGTGTCATCGCTCGGCCACCGAGGGTCTTCTCCTGGTCGGACTGCAAGGGTCACCGCCTCATTCCGCATATTACTCCATTCGAGCGCGGCCAGAGCCCGCGGATCCGTCCTGTCTGAGCCGCGCGGAAAGCGGCGGGGTCCCGAAGTCCCGGGGAAGTGGAAGGCGCGAGGAGTTCCTTCGGAGTCCTTCCGGATCGGGGCAGAGGGGGAGAAATCGGAATCCTCGATCCTTCCGTCGCGTTACTCCCGCGGATCTCCAAAGTCTCTCCCCGCGGGCGGCGTTCCTCTTCGTATCCCCGTTTTCGCGTACGCCGATCTTTTTCGTCGAGATTTCCTTTGTCAAGGCTCGAAAAGCCCCCGGCCGATCCGCGCCAGGGGCAAAAAGCGAGTCGGGCCCGCGCCGCAAGGATTCGGCGCGCGATCACCCGGAACCGCTCGTTTCCTTCCGCGTTTTTACCGGCGGGGCTTTTTACGCGGAATAACGCACTCGGGGTCCCGGGATCGCGAGAGCCGGCGAGAACCGCCAAGAATATACCGGGCGGGTCGCTCGGCGCCTCGAGATGCGCGGATTTCACGCGGCGTGACGCCAGCGCCGCGCCGAGCAGCGTCGAGGCGTTTGCACCGTACGGTCAAACGTTACATAACCGAGAACGATGAACCCTGGGTACAGTCACCCGGCGTGCTCGCATCTTTTCCGCGTAAACGCGCCTTGCCTGCCAGCGGACGCGCCGGCGTTTTTCCGACGCCACCGCGAGACCCGGCCCGCCACCCCGGACGGCCGTCCTCGTCGCTCCTGGGATCGGACCCGGCGTTGCACTTTGGTTATCGACACTTCGAGCCGAGCGCCACGGGAGGGGACCGACGCCCCGTCGGACCATCGGCGAGATAGGGAGGAGCAGGAGGTCTCGGCAGGTGGCGGGGACAAAGTCGGCTTTGTCGCCTCGGCGGACGAAGCGCGAGGTAATTACTCCCCGTCCGTCCTTCGCGGACCGACCCGGAAGGAACGCGTTCGCGTCCCAGTCGATAGAGTTCGCTCTATCGGCGCCGAATATTTTATCGCCGGCGAATATCACGCCCTGCCCTGCTGGCGATAACGGTCGTCGTTGGTCTTCTTTCGGCAGTCCGGAGCGAGGGAGCGTTCTTCGCGCATCGGGAGACGCCGTTTCCCGATGGTGAATCTCCGGGTCCGGCGATATTATTCCGCTACAATGGCCGCACGGAGATGGACCCTTCGCGAGCGGGACGGTGAAACGCGATCGCGGGCGGGACAGGAAACGGTCCGCAGCGGGTCAACCGCCGGCTAGGCTGGGTCGGTTCCGGAAAAACAAAGGCCGCCTCGCCGCGGAAGCCAGAGGTCTTCGGCGTCGAGCGGCCGAAAAACTGCGAGGCCCGAGGAAATTTCGTCGCGACGTCTTCGACCGGGAGAGACGGTCGGGTTCGCGTCGCATCGCCGTCGGCCCAGGGAGAGGTTCGAATCGTGGACGACCACATCGGCGTCCAGTCGAGGAGGTTTCTCCGCACCCGAGAACGAGCGAGCAAGTTTTCCTCTCCTCGTCTTCGTCGACCGGTTACGTTGACTTTCCCCTTCCCGCGGAGCCCTTTGCGAACTCCCGACTTTCCTTTGACGGCGAAGCTCCTTCGACGGGCGGCTTCGGTGGTTTCCCCTTTCCCGACCGCGGTCTTGCCGCGTTTCTCTCCACTCGGGTTTTCCCTTCCGAAGCGCGATCGATCGCCGCCGCGGCGCGAGCTCTCGGTCCGACTGCCACGAGGACGACTCGGCGAGGGAGCGGCGCGCTCGCGTCCAGATATTGTATCTTCCTTCCTAAAATCCCCCGTAGTAGCCTCGGTGACGCAACCAGGAGGAAGAGGTCGTCGGGCCGCTCCCGAGCGAGGACTCGCCGAAGGGGTCGGTGCACCGGGAAGAAGCGGAACTCGCGAGCGCGTTCGCGGCCAAGTGTACGGCGGCGCTCGGGCGTCGCCGCGAGTTCCCCGAAACGATCCGCGTTTCCGCCGCGACGTCGCCGGGGGAACGGAGGCGGCGTTGACGCTCGACGGGGAATTCTCGGACTCCCACGGGTTTTCGGCGTCCACGTCGCGTCTCCCCGGCGGAACCTCGAAGCGGCCAGGCGCCCGCGGGTTTCAGGGCGCGGCGAAGAACTGCCCTCTCGGCTCGGCAGCGCTCCCGCTCCCCTCGAGGCACGCGGCGCACTCGGCGGCGCCACCGCGCGGCCGCTTCCTCCGGCGAGGGCTCGCCGGATTGATCCCCTCCGCCTACGTGGTCGGGGACGCGGCGCTTCCTCCTCGGGGCCTCGAGACCGGGCGCGGGCTCCACTGCCGTGCGTCGCGCCGACTGGCCGGCCTAGGCTCGGGTGACGACGCGGACGGACGCGGCGCGTGCATGAATTTTTCGGGGTTTGACGAACCGCGGAGGAGAGAGAGGTGTTTTCGGGGACCGGCGGAGCAGGCCTGGCATCTCACGATATGTCGGAATCCCCCCACCACTACGGGCGCGCGCCGCGGCGGGTCACTGAACTCTGCGAGCGCCTCCACCGATGATGCCCGAGCGGCGCGGCCCCTCCCGCGCGCGCCGAGCGCCTCCGAGGCCGCCCGACCGCCCCCGAGGACGCCCGAGGCCGGCCGAGGCCGGCCGAGCCCGGCCGAGCCCGACCGAGCCCGACCGAGCCGCTCGACGCCCGAGAGGCGCGTAACTTACGAAATTACCGGGAAGTTTACCCGCCGGCCTGGCGTGCCGCGTTGGCCGTCGGATCCTCCGAAACTCGTCGACGCCGCGTTTCCGTTCGGTCGACCAACGAGACCGCCGGAATCCTTTCCAGATTTTCCCCGCCATTCGGGCTCTTTTTGCGGTTAGGCCGGCGCGGGCCGCCGCACTCGGGGTAGGGCCGCGAGGATTCGGCCGAGGGTGGGCGGGGGTCGCTCTTTTATCGATTCCGTCTCGCGCCCTAGGCAGGCCCGATGTAGGGCGCGAGTCGGAGCGCCCGAGGGGTGCTCGCCCTCCGGGGCCCGTCGTCGAAACGGGAAACGTGGCTCTTCGATTTTTCCGCTCCCCCCGAACGCTCGATTCGAGCGATTCCTTCGCGCGCCAACGTTGCGCGACGCGGAAAGGGAGACGTCCCCTGACGTCGCGGCGGAGCTTCTCCGCTTGACGACCGATTCCTCCAATGGAATCAACTAACGATTCCCTCGTGAATTTATCGGTCGCGTCCCGCCATCCTCTCCTTCCCGAGAACCCCTCGGAGGAAGGTCTCTTAAAGCGCCCCGACGACTTCGGGGCGGGCGCGATTTCGGGCAAATTCGGTGACCCGCGGCACTTTCACCGCCCCGACGGAGCCCCACCCGCCGCGGTCTGGCTCCGTCCTTGTGCAGGACGTGGAACCTCTCTCTCGCCGACGCCGCTTCCCCCACCGCGCCGACCCCCCTCCTCGACTGACGCGCTCTCGCTCGCTCTTTCCTCCCGCGCCCCTTCCATTTGTTGCATAACCGAGCACGAGGTTGCCAACCTGCACCGCGTAATACTCTATAAATACCGCCGCAAATAAATAATCGCGCGGCGGACTCGCGGACGCCGCGCCGATTGAGAACATCGGACGCGAGTCCTTCCGAGGGGAGAGCCGAGAGATAAGTCGCGGCCGATTCGCACCTCGAGTGCCCCACGCGGAGGATGCGACCGCGTTATCTCCGGTCGATCGGGGTTCTCCTCCGGGCGAGACTCGGCGTCTCGTCCGCGTCCGTATTTACGCGCGCGGGCCGAGGTCGC